GATCTCAGGGTCCTGGGATCGAGCCCTGCATCGGGCTCTTTGCTCTGCAGGGAGCCTGCTTCCTCCTCTCTCTCTCTCTCTCTGCTTGCTTCTCTGCCTACTTGTGATTTCTGTCAAAAAAATAAATAAAATCTTAAAAAAAAAAAGAGATGCTTAACTGACTGAGCCACCCAGGTGCCCCCTCTTAGCAGTTTTAAAGCATAGTATTATAAACACAGTATTGTGTTTACACATAGTAAACACAGTATTGTTGACTACAATCACCATGGTGTGTATTAGATCCTGGAACTTATCTTTCAATTGAAGTTTGTAGTCTTTAACAATATCTCCCACTCCCCACCTCCTGCACCGCTATTATTTTTAGGAGCTTGCCTTTTTTAGACACGATATCATACAATATTTGTCTTTCACTTACCTCACTGAGCATAATGCCCTCACAGCCATCTATGTTGTCGCAAACGAAAGGATTTCCTTCTTTCTTAGGGCTGAATAATATTTAATTGTATTTACGAATGTATTCATATATATACATATGTACTTATGTATACACGTGTATGTGTGTATGTATATATATACTTGATACATTCATCTGTTGATGGACACTTGGGTTGTTTGAATGTCTTGGTTATTGTGAACAATGCTGCAATGAACAATGGGAGTGCAGAAGTCTTTTGGTAATCTTTTTCTATTATTTTCAGATTGCTGGATGGGAATTCCTTACTGTTTTCTGTAGTGGCCGAACCACCTTACATTCCCACGAACAGTGAGTATACAAGGGCTCCCTTTTCTCCACACCCTCCCCAGTACTTGTTATTGCTTATCTTCTTAATGATAGCCTAACAGGTGTAGGTAATACCTCACTGCAGATTAGGTTTGCATTTTCCTTTTGATCAGTGATGTTAAGCACTTTTTCACGCACCTGTTGTCCATATGGATGTCTTCTTTGGGAAAACGTCTATTCAATTCCTCTGCCCGTTCTTAAGTCAGATTGCTGTGTTGTTGGGCTGTTACTGTTATTCAGCTGTATGAATTCTTTATATATTGTGGAGATTAACCCCTTAACCAGTACATGGTTTGCAAATATTTTCTTCCATTCTGTGTGTTGCCTTTTCATGTTGTTGATCATTTCTGTTGCTGTGCAGAAGCTTTTTAGTTTGATGTGGCCCTACATGTTGATTTTTGCTTTTGTTTGTTTTGATTTCGGTGTTCTATCTAAAAAATTGTTGCCAAGATGTGAGCTTTTTCACTCTGTTTTATTCTACTTTTACCATGTGCAGTCTTAAATTTAACCCTTTAAAGGCGTACTCCATTTTGAGTAAATTTTTCTGAGGGGTGTACGAGCGAGGTCCAATTTTGTTTCTCTGCATACAGTTATTCAGTTTTCCCAGCACCATTTGTTGAAGAGACTATCCTTTCCTTATTGAGTTTTCTTGGTTCCATTGTCAAATATTAGCTGACCATAAATTTGGGGGTGTATTGCTAGGCTGCCAATTCTGTCCTATTGGTCAAAATGTCTGTTTTATACCAATACCATACTGTTTTGATTACTATAGGTTTGTAGTATAGTCTGAAATCAGGAAGTATGATACCTCTTTGGCTTCGTTCTTAGGATTGCGTCAGCTATTCGTGGACTTTGTGGTTCCATTTAAATTTTAGGATTGTTTATTCTAGTTCTCAGAAAAATGACATTGGAATTTTGAAAGAGATTACTTTGAATCTGTAGATGGCTTGGGGTACTTTGGACTTTGTAACAATATTAGTTCTTCAAAACCATGAACATGGAATATCTTTCCATTTTTTGTGACTTCAATTTCTTCCATCAGCATCTTGCAGTTTTTATTGTCCAAATCTTTCATTTCTTTGGTTAAGTTTATTCCTGTTTGATTATTTTTGATGCTTTTGTGAATAGGATAATTTTTTTATTTCTTTTTAGATATGTCATCGTTACTGTGTAGGAGTGCAACTGATTTCTGTATTTTGATTTAATATCCTGCAGCTTCACTGCATTGATTTAGTTTTTTGACTTTTTTTGGCTGAGTCTTTAGGATTTTCTCCATGTAAGATCATGTCATCTACAAATAATGACTTTTACATCTTCTTTTACATCTTCTTTTCTGATTTCGATACCTTCTGTTTCTTTCTCTTCCTTACTTGCTCTAGCTAGGATTTCTGAGAGTGGGCATCCTTGTTTTACTCATGTTCTTAGAGGAAAAGCTTTCAATCTTTGTCGTCAAGTATGATGTTAGCTGTGGGTTTGTCATGTATGGCCTTTACTATGCTGAGTATGTTCTTCTATACCCATATTGTTGAGTGTTTTTATCATGAAAGGATGTTTTATTTTGTAAAATGCCTTCTCTGCATTTAGTGAGATGATAATATGGTTTGTCTTTCATTCTGTTAATGTGGTGTATCACATATATTGATTGATGTGTATTGAACTGTACTTTCCAGCCAGGGATAAATTTCATTTTTTCATGATGTATGATAACTTTAATGTGTTGTTGTATTTGGTTTTCTGATATTTTGTTGAGAATTTTTATATTTGTATTCATCAGGGATAGTGGTCTGTATCTTTATCAGGCTTTGATATCAGGGTAATTCTGGCCTTATAAAATAAATTTGGGAGAGTTCCCTTCTCTTAAATTTTTGAGAAGAATTGGAGGAGGATTGATGTTAATTATTTTTTAACGTGTGGTAGAATTCACCAGTGAAAAGATTTTTAGAATAATGATTTAATTTCCTTAGTGATTACTGATTAAGATTTTCTATTTCTTTGTGATTCAGTCTTAGTAGGTTATGTTTCTAGGAATTTATCCATTTCTTCTAGTTTATTGAATTTATTGACATGTAATTGTTCATAGTAATCTCTTATATATTTCTGTAGTTATCAGTTATAATGTCTCCTCTTTAATTTCTGATTTTGAGTCTTCTCTCTTTTGTGTTCGTCTAGCCAAAGTTTTGTCTATTTCATTTATCTGTTTAAAAACACTTATTTTCATTGATCTTTTCTATTTTTTTCTCATCTCTAATTTATTTCTGCTCTAATCTTTGTTATTTCCTTCCTTCTGCTGTCTTTGAGCTTAGTTTGTTTTCTTTCTAATTCTAGAGGTTAGATTGTTTACTTGAGATCTTTCTACTAATAGATGCACTCATCACTATAAATACCCCCTTGGAACTGCTGTTGCCATATCCCATAGGTTTGGCTGTGTTGTATTTCTGTTTTCATTTTTTTGAGATCTTTTTAAATTTGCCCTTTGACTTCTTCTTTGGCACACTGACTGCCAGGAGTGTGTTGTTCAGTTTCCATGTGACTGTAAATTGTCTAGCTTTTTCTTACTGATTTCTAGTTTTGTCCCATTGTGGTCAGGAAAGATGCTTGATATGATTTTCAGTCTTCTTAAATTTTTTAAGACTTGTTTTGTGGCATATCTTATGATCTATCCTGGAGAATGTTCAGTGTGCACTTGAGAAGAATGTATATTCTGCTGCTGTTTGCTAGAATGTTCTATAAGTGTCTGTTAGATCTGTATGGTCTATTGTATGATTCAAGTGCAAGATTTCCTTGCTAATTTTCTGCCTGGATGATCTGTCCATTAGTGAAAGTGGAGTGTTGAAGTTCTTATTATTATTGTATTATTGTCTGTTTCTCTCTTCACATCAGTTATTGTGTGCTTAACATAGGTAGGCCCTGTGATGTTGGGTGCATATGTATTTATATGATGTATTTTTTTTGATGAATTGACCCCTTTATTATATAATGACCTTTTTGTCTCTCGGTACTATTTTTGGTGTCATCTATTTTGACTGATGGAAGAATAGCTACCTCCACTTTCTTTTGTAAACAAAAGAACATTTTGTTGTTGTGAACATTCATGTAAAAAATTATCTTCTGAAATAGTGAGGGTTTCATTCTTTATTACAAATCTATCCATTAAATTTAGACAATGTCCAAATCAGTAGCAGTGAAAAAGTTTCTTCATTGGAAAACCCCAACTCAAGATCTTTCAATGGGGGTAAAAATGTCTTCTGGTCATATTTTCTTTTTTTTTTTTTTTTAAGATTTTATTTATTTATCATTTATTATTTATTCTCAGAGAGAGATCACAAATAGGCAGACAGGCAGGTGGGGGTGGGGCGTGGGGCAGGAAGCAGGCTTCCTGCTGAGCAGAGAACCCTATGCAGGGCTCAATCCCAGGATCCTGAGATCATGACCTGAGCCGAAGGCAGAGGCTTTAACCCACTGAGTCACCCAGGTGCCCCATTCTGGTCATATTTTCTAAGAAACTATGAAATCTGCTTTGTTTTCTTGCATTGAGAAGATATTTTATATGTTCATACTATATTAGATCTTATTACCATCTAATATATTATGTATTACTTGTTTGTTTTAATCTAACTTCAAATCTCTCCACCTTCCACCCTCTCCACAATGTAAATTCCAGGAGGACATGGATTTGAGGGGCAATTTTGTGTCCTGCTATACCTCTGGCATTTAGAACTGTGAATGCTACACAGTGGGCAATCAGTAAGATCTGTTGAAGGCATGAATGAATGGTGCTTAAATGTTACGCAGCTTTATGTTTTCCTGGATAGCATTTTAAAAGGTTCTACATTTAGCTTCTTTTGAACATCTCAGTGTTACTGGTTTTCCTGGGGTAGAGCATTCTAGTACAAAATGTCTGTGTTATATAGACCTTATAAATGGTTGGAAACAAGGTACGAAGAAGGATTATGTTGTATTGGGAAAGGAAAGAAGACAGAGATGGATTAGAGAAATTATATACATGGAATTTTGTCCCCCTCTAATTTGACTATAGTGTCCCCAAAGTGATAACATGCAGAACATCAGAGACCCTTGTACAATGATAACCCCGACTTATGAAGGAATAACAAAAAATCATTTGACCCTAACAGTGAAGGTTAAATGATCTATCATCAAAAACACAGAAACAAACTAAATCATCCCTTTCTTAAATGAGAACACGCCACCGTTTCTGTTTTGTGCAACTATTTATTGATTCGTGCTAGTCAGTGGAGATACTGCTTTAGCAGTCTCAGGCTCTGTCTCTGAGATACAAATTAGAGGTTTTAAAATAGCAGGAACTTTGCAACATTACTGTAAGTAGGGAACCGGGTCCTTTTTCTCTTGTTAAGCAAGGAAACTTGACTCTGAGAGGTAAGGTGATGTCCGGAAGTATTTTTTAGCCTCTGTCTTTGTTGGCGTCCTTTTCCTCGTCTTGGATTTAGGTAAGGATATAATGTCAGTTCTAGTTAGAAAAAGGAGATCACAATGCCAGGTGTCAAATCCACATATCAATCCTCTCCTTAATTGCTGAAGTTTGACACGTCCCTGTGTTTGTCCCAGAAAACTCAAAACGTTCTTTTATTAGCAGTAGGGAATTAAATTTCCTATGTAGACAAATTAACTTCTAAATTATAAGAGAAACAAATAAAAACACCACGAGAAGGTGGGGAGGGCACGTCCTGCTTCAACTTAAAGCTTTCTCAAAGTAATTTCTTTTTTCCTTCTCCATATTTTCCACAGCTTGCTTGCTTGCTTGTTTTTCCTCTTTTTCTTGCATTGGAACTCACTATCTAGTTAGTACCTTCTCTGAAGAGTAAATTTTTAGTCAGAAACACTTAAAAAAAAAAAATCTTAGAATCCTAATTAAAGTGAAAGAGGTCAACCAGACTGTTGAAATGAAAAGTGTTTTCAAGCCATGTAGCTATTATGTTTGGGCAATTCTTGAAACAGGGAGGGTAGAAACTCATCAGAAAGAGTTTCAAAGTCTATTTTAAATATAAAATGTGAATTGGTTTAGAGTAAGAAAGACTAATAGAATAAGGAAAGAAAATAATATATTTTGTGGATTAACCAAATTCATGGCCTTGTGCACTAAATTTTATACTCTAAAACCTGACAGGGCCTTGTTCTTGTGATTGCAAACCCTGGTTTTTCAAACCCCCCACCTCCACCCCCAGGCTTGTCTCAGGTTGTCTTAGAGTGACAAAATAATCTCCAAGTAAGCTTAATTTTGATTCAAAAATACAGCCACATACCCATCTCTCTCTTTCTCTCTCTTTTTCTTTCTTTTTTTTTTTTTTGATGGAAAAGGGGATGAGGCAGAGAAGACCAAATTGTGAAGAAAGGTAAAGATTATTATAGCCCTCTAGGTCTTCAGCTGACAAGTGAAAACACCTTGTATGTAATGCAAAGGAAAAACTGTCCATTTGACCTCATTTTCATTCACACTGCTCCCAACGCCCAGGAAAGACCAGATGTCTGGTTTCTAGAGTATTGGGCTTTTTCCTAGTAAAATTTATTTTTTGAAGTTTGGAGAAAAATGGCAGCTCCTTCTGACCTCAATATTTTATAGTTTAATAATTTCATATACTAAAAGTGTTCCAGCATAAAATGAGCTTTGAATATTTACGCATTTGCAATAATCCAAGGAAGGCTGTTTAAAGAAAATCTTGAAATGAACTTTATTTTGAAAATCTTGTTATTATTAAAAAAAAAACACCAAAACAAATTCATAGTTTTCATGACTAGGAGGTACAATGTAGCATATGGTAAAGGTACTGAATTGGTGGGGTGGAGTGGGGGACAGGGAGGTAGTATGAGTAGATGACCTTTCTTTTTCCTTGTCTGATTTCTACTAAGAGCCATACAAAATATACATGAGCTAATGGTATTTCTTCCCTCCTTACAGAAAACAATAGTTGGAAATTCCTATGTAAAGCTAATTTGCCTCAAAGAATATAAAGCCCTTTAATGGGGTATCTAGGTCCCTATGGAAATTTTTTTTTTAAACATACACCATGTGGTGCAATCTGTTACAGTCTACAAGGAGGGAAGGGGGGGGAGCTCTGTGGGGGCCAGGAATAAAGTCACATGTGGGAGTTTTTGAGGTATTCACTAGTAATAGGGAAACAGTACAGCTAAAACCTAGAAGTAACATCGCTTCTGCCATAAGTCGTAACCCAGGGTATATTAAATGTACGCTCTTTTTAGAAACTATTTAGCAAGTTAGTCAATTTAGGGGAGGAAAAAAACCCACCTTATCTGAGATGGTTAAATTGCTATTCATTTTGTATTTTAATCTAATCTACTGGTGATTTAATTTACAGAACTCAAAGGAAGTGTGCACTCAAATATTTGAGGATGTTAACGTATCAACCACTGTTTAATTTTGGAATGTGCCTACTTGCTTGACACAATATTTTACCATCTCAACAAATGTTTAGCCTTTTTTTCACTTGACTAAAGAGAAATAAGTTTCACATCGCTTCATTCACCTTCTTATGTGCATATGCTGGGAAAGATTGGATGTTAAAAAAAAAAAAAATTCCTCATGTTCCTTTCTACTACATCTAAATCTGTTTACCAATTCAAAGCTGCTAAAAAGCCCTGTATTCTCCTGCTAAATCAACTGGATGGCTAGAAACCAAACTGTGATGTAACAGGAAAAAAAATTATCAATTTATTTTCATGTCAGAAGATTCTTGAGAAGGTATAAATTGTTCTGGTCTCTATGCCAGTTTTCTTTTTTCTTCCTTTCTCTCTCTCTCTCTCTTTTTAAGGCTTTCAGCTTTTAAGCCGATACTTTTTATAGTTATATAACAGTTCTAATATTTTGTGACATTTTGTATTGTGACACTATAGATGAAATTGTCATCGGACTGACACTCTGTGCTGTTTATTCCTTAATTACAACTGTTAACACTGTAGAGAAGTGTGCTAATCTGCCAGCGCATATTATGAAAACAACATTATTGTTACCCACACCAACACCCACTCAACAGGATATTTCCAAGATGGTAGTTTAAGGGAACTGATCAGCACAATGGATGTTTCAATATAGGTTTTGTTTGTTTGTTTGTTTTTTAAAGCTTGTTCTACTGTCTTCATGTAAACACACACACGTTTGAAATTTTTATACTCTTGAATTGTAATGAGCATAGACTCCCCTTACTAGCAGGAGCTGCGTCTATAGTCAGAAAAATTAAAAAAAAATTTTGAGCACTCCAGCAGTGGAGGACTGGGGAGCCGCAAAGCTTTCTGACAGTTGTTTAGGAAATAAAGAAAGGAGAGGGAAGGGCAAGTTTTAAGATGAAAAGATGAGAAGAGTTACTTGCATTCACAGGGTTGGTAGTCCTTAAATATCTAAGTCAAAATCCAATAACCATTTCCAGCTCTAATAGGTGACCTTTTTCAGAACCAAGTCTGAGCTCCGCTGAAACTGGCTACTTCTCAAATGCTTTGTAGTTTAGTTCTTTCCTCCGGAACCTTCAGAGGTTTGATTATCTATAAGGGACAAAATCCTATAAACCCATTGTCTGACATACTATATTGAAGCAGTTCAGTGCCTCTATTTTTTCCATTTGTTAAAAGAAACTATAATGGCCAACAGCCACTTGGATCCTGTGCTGAACCTAATCCCCATAATAAAAGAGCCAAAGTGATTCTAGAAAATGTAAAACCAGAACAACAAGTATTCATTGTTTAGATGAGAATGATTATAAATGATTTTTTTTTTTTTTAAGAAGGACACATGTAACACTTACTTAGCAATTTACTTAATAAACAGTTCAACTTTCGGTATTAGCTCTTAACACTTCCATGTGTTTGGCAGAAAGCAAATTCATGATCCTGAAGTAAGAGTAGGTCTCAAAGGATAGAACCTGAGATTTGTCAGTTGATTCTCTTATCTTCATGTCATCGAGGAGGTAATGGGACAATATGAACATATTTGATTCCTAAGGCACCCGAAATGACCTGCGTATTCTTTAATACTCAGCTGTACTAAACAGTTTTTTTTTTTTGTTGTTGTTGTTGAAAAGAGTATGTGAAGAAGTTATCACTGTGCCTCATTCTGAACGGTATTTTCTACTTCATTTTCATTTTCAACACCGATAGGATATGGTGCTCTTCCTAAAAGAAACTGTTCCCATTTGGGAATATATTCTTCTACTGATGCCCAGTAAAGAGTCTGGAAAAAAAACAACATCCAAAAGTAAAAAAGCATATCAAGCAATTGAACTTGGCTCTTCATAATAGTCTAAATGTTTATTCACTGAAGTGTGTGTGTGCGTGTACACACACACACATACACACATATACGTAGAATGCACTTCCTCTAGAGAATATTTTATGTTAATTTTAGAAAGAAATCTGGCTACTTACTAGTGTTAATTTTCAAATTTCTCAGTAAAACCGGAGCCTGGCAGAATTACAGGTTTGGGGATTTTATTGTGATTTTACACGCCCTCTTGTGGCCAACCGTGTGATTATTACCAGTAGTATCATTTATGGCTACAATCATTAAATGTTTTTGTTTACTCTTCCAAATCCCATGCCAAATGATTACCCATACTAAAAATATTACAATGAAATGATTAGACATGAACAACTGCTTTATAACTAATATAAAAAGATTTCACCTGGGGTGAGATCAGGAACTGAAACATAACTAGTGTGTTATAGTACAGGACTCAGGTACATTGACTCCTTAATTGTATGGGGAAAAACACTTAAAATATTCATCCACTGTATCTTTTAGAAGAGTACTTGATACGGTAAACTTAATTTCTTCCCAGTTTCTTCCTTCCTTTCTTTTTCTTTTTGTATACTGAGAAAAATAATACCAATATCATGTAACCATTTTTAATTCCAGTAACTTGGAAGTTGAGACACTATATTATTGGCCTGAGTATAGCAAGTCTGTAAGCTATGAAGGCTCAGGCAAGATCACCATGTAGTATCTCCAAGCTTTGATGGTTCTTGGGTGACTGCCCTGAGGGGGCCAAAGAAAAGTATACTGACAAAAGCTCTGTATCATAGGAGGGCATTTTGGATGGGATCATCACTATCAATCTTATTTTGGGGAATTAAGCCAAAGAATTACTTAGCATTAAGAACACATAGTGATTCATTCTGCACATTAACAAGGTATAGGAGTTCTGAAAGTTGAAATTATGAAGAGTTTTGCACTTCCACCCCTCTGTGCATGTGGTCTGAGAAGTAGCCAGACACACTTAAAATGGAGGTCATCCTGTTGTGCAAGACTAGCTAAGGAAAATACCAACCAGGGGCCTGTGGTCGGGAGTTTCTCCACCATTCACGGCTGGATTAACCCCTATTGTGTGGGCCCCGTATAGGCCAGAGTAAGGTATTGGAGAATTCAACAAAGGAAAAGACATGCCCAAGGCACAACTTTGTACCACAGCTCTTTCTGTCCTTGATCCCTGCCTTTCCTTATTACTCTAGATGGCACAGAAAACTGAAGGGCAAATTCTCAGCCTTTAATTTTGCGTCTATTCACATCCCTGTTTAGGCAGCAAGCAAAACTGCATTTGAAAAAGGTCATTAGGAATAGAAAACGAAACTATTCTATATGTAGTAAATTTCCTTTCATCACAGATATATTCATATACCAAATAGGGTTTATTTTTGCCAACAGTCTTCCCAATCTGTTCTTGAACTGAGCAAAATAAAACGGACAAAAGCCACACGATACTGCATGACGATAGGCACTTAAATAGCTTTGGTTGGAATCTGGTGAAAGGACTGAACTTCTAGCATCGGCCAACAGGAAAAGCACTTTGGTTAGGCACGCCGTCATCTTGGTAAATCGATTTAGTGTATGCTGTCTCTTGTCTGTTACGGTTGAGCAAGATAGGTGTTTCTAGATGAGAAGATACGGGATCTTTATAAAATTGTCACCTGATAAATCTTTAGAAATCAAAATACTTACCCCCTCCTCACCGTGTACAAAGCACAGCACTGTGGACATGTAAGGAGCAATCAGACACATCTTATTTTACCGAATAAATAAATCTGGGAAATACACACACCTAACCACGGTTAATTTAGAGTGCACTACTAACAGAATGGGGTCTCTTTCTATACTTTTGTTCTTTAAGATTCTCACCTCAAGAGAAACCACCTCTGGTGGTGGAATTGGGCGAATCCGGGTCTGCAGAGACTTTTCTGCGGCTTCTAGATCCTGTAATAGGTGTCCGTGTTTTAGAAACAAAATGTATTTATGTAACGCATACAAATGGCACCTGTAATAGCAATGTCTGTACCCCAAATGTCAACTCTTCTCTGGATAAACCGTCTGAACTGAAGGAAGGGCATTCCAGTAGGAGGACTGATCATTACTTAATCAACCAGTTTCAAGTAGAAAAAGCAGCGTTTCTTGTTTTAAAATAAGAAGTGTGGGGGGTGGGACTTTCAAGGTCTTCCTTTTCATTTAAAACAGTAAATGCCAGTAATCCTGGCAAACAGGACTTTCTTCCAAAACTGCTCAGGACACTAATATAGCTCTAAAACCATTAAAAACAGCCAGATGGATAAAATGGTCCAATATTCAGGTACCAAAAACAGTCAGAGAATCAGCCCCACACTGAGCTAACCTTAAAAGTGAAGCGTTCTAGTCTAGATCATGCAAATGGTGTATTAAGGTCACACATTTCATCTGTTCAGTATTCTGTTTTTTTAATTTTATACTTATGCAAATCCTCCACGTATTCGAAAGAAAGTCAATGAGGTACCTCAGTACTTTGCAACAAGAGTCTTTTCAGAAGACTCTGGTTTCTTAGGACTCGATTTCTGGGGCATTCTCATTGGCCGGCGTTATGGCTGTGTCGTACATCATTTAGCTGATGACATTTAAGCCCTGTGCTTTAATCTGTCGTGTGACGTGTGGGTGTGTGCATTTTCTCTTGCGGTTGCAGAAGCGCAGGGGCAATTACATGTAACGCAGACCCGAGTGAAGATGTCACCCTGATATGTGGATGAAGTACAGGCCCAGAAATGTAGGACTCTCCCACGTCGTCAGTGAAACACTGAGCTCCGTTTCATGCTTCCCAAATTGGCACCTGTGTTGTCTTGTGCTTGCTTATGTTTGTCAAGTTGACAGAGGCCTTGGCTGTGGGCCGTGTCAATTTTGTCTCTCCTGTGAGCTCAGTGAGTTGATGGAAAAGAGAAAGTTCTCTGATCCGTGTGCAAGCATTGGAGCGATCTAAGTACAGGGCTGTTGGACAGACGGAGAGAGATGGAAAAGGACGTGGGCGTGGGGTGTGAAGAATCCAATGCTGAACAGGAGAAAAGAGCGAGCAGATGGCAGTGGCGGGAGCAAGGAATGGGTGTGAAATGTAAAAGGGAAAAACAGGAAATTCCCTAAAGGGACTCCCCAAAGTTGCACAACCATTAATGCACCTGCTGTCTCGAAGAAGGTGATTTGAAGGGGAAAACCATCAATTTAGGGATAAAAAGCCCATCTTATTAGCCACGTCCATTCCCTACCAGAAGTTTAGGGCCAAGACGCACACTAAAGTGCTTCTGATGCCAATGTTACAACAGATACCGGAGATTAACTCTCCTGTGATTGCACGGAGATTTTTACAACGTCCTGGGAAAATTATTTTTTACTTTCATAAATCAAACAAACAATAGACTCACAACTCCACTGACCCCATTATAAGAACAGTTGCAAATTTATGGTTGGTGGTAGACCTAGGTGCCACTAGCACCTATAGACAAGATGATAAACACTTCTCTTAAAGACCAGGAAATAAGGATATTGGCCCTCTCTCCTAGAAGAGCAGATCTGCCGTGGAAGAGTAGATATGAGCAGGGATCTCTGACCTGGTAAAACAGGCCTATGGTTAGTAACTTGACTGTCATCTCTGCAGCCTGTCGACAAGGGATTATCACCCCTCCAGAGAACTTCTTTCATAAGTGAGATTTTACTTTCTTAGATGTTTTGCTTACCTCTCTGACTCCTACTTCTCTTTCTCCTAAGTTGGCGCCTTTTTCTCTTCTTAATCCTAAGTGTGGGCTTTCTAAGATTTGTGACATCTGTCCTCCTCTTTTTACTTTTTCTCTCTCCAAGACTGTCTCTTATCTAGCTTCAACGATTAATATAGAGGGATGGATAACTTTTCTTCCCAGCCCTTATTTCTCAACCTGATGAAACCAAACTACCCTTATTCCTACTTAGTGTACTGAATGTACAGTAGTGGGAGTTCTACTCTTGCAGACACCTATGCTGTATCTTCTACCTTCGACTGTTCTTATTCCCTGACATTTAAAAATTCAAAAGTCCATAGATGACTCCTGTAGGATGTCTCCCTTAGCCTGTCCATGCCATTCTCAGTGCTGTGGTCTTATTATCACACTTCCTTGTTCAACAAATATGTATTTGGACCATATCTCATTTTACTTTAACCACATGTGGAATTGATTAGTTTTGCTAAAATCACTACTTTAAATATGTCTTTACACAGATTTAAAAAAAAATAGAGACCCACTACACAGAGGATAAAGTATGAATTCCTTAGCCTGACTGAAAAATCTCTGCCTTCTGTAGCAAGTTATAGCCCATTACTTCCAATTAAGAACCTTCTGTTTGACTATATGCTGCCAGAAGGTACGGACTGTGCCTCATTCAACCTTTGAGCATCCGAGAATCTAACAAAGTGCAGGGTATGTACTAAACACTTAAATATTCATTATGTAAATAAATGACTAAGGTGTCAACAGTCTCCTGTGCATAAATAAAAAACTAAAAAAAAAAAAAAAAAAAAGTACCCAAGGGGGTAGGGGGAGAAAAGCAAAAAAAAAGCAGATGAAGAGCAGCTAGACTCACCTGTCCAGATCTTGGTATCTTGCCTTATAGATCTGCCACTAGATCATTTAAAAACATATACAATTATAGAACAAATGAAAAAGCAGTCCCTAAAAATTGAAAACAGAAGGAAAGAAAGAATCTGTCATCTAGTTGGTGGCATAACCACATTAAGAAAAAGT